TAAACAAACACTTTATTTACCTTTTTTTAACTTCTTAATATATGTAATGTAACTGTCCGAATTAAAACAATTTTGTTCATGCCATACATTATAAACTAGAATTCATGTTCAGAAAGTTTCAAAAAATGTATAACTTTGGACATTTTAAAGCTTCAGGTACCCCAATGGCATTGTTGATGAGCAGAATGTTAGCTAGAAACAATCTTATTAATCTTTGAATAGAGAATTTCCAACTAAGTTGTTTACAAACAACATAATTAATTAAAGTCCAGTAAATTAAATGCAGATTGTATTCATCTTCTCACTACTTCAACCTTCCTGCTTTACATAGTCCCAATATAAAATCAGTATCAATCATATTATAAAATAATACATTGTCCTTACTCTGAATAAGAGGGTTATCAAAAAGCAGGCCAAGACGAATATGTTTAGAATAAGAAAAACATTGCAATTTATTTCCTTAATTCTTTGTACCAAATTTTGAACAAATATGGTGAATATGTTATAAAAATATACCATAAGTCCTTGGATTTGGCTATCTTTAAAACCAGGAACAGGGAATCAAGGAACAGGGAATCAAGGAACAGGGAATCAGGAACAGGGTACCGGGAATGAGAACTTTTAAAGTGGTGTACTTTTTTCCTTAGTAGATAACATATACCCAGTTCCAATAATTATATATACAGTTTTGTTTATACAATGACGTAAAAACTTGCTAAACATGGCTTTTATTTATGTAACAAATATCTGTCAAAGTGCACTTTTTCAGAAAAGTCACTCCTAATTTGATACATCAAACATTAGACTTCTTCATCACTTTTATCCACATCTTGACTCCACAAATTCTGCCATAATGAGACTAATGATCTTAAATAACCCATCTCATTTCCATAACAAAAATGGCAGGTTAAGACTGGCCAACCATATAAGTAAGTAGGTCTCTTTCTACAAAATCATAAGAATTTTCTTTATTTGATTTACTTGCATGTTCTCTCTAATTATGTAAAATTGAAGACAATTAAGGTACAAACATTGTCTTAAATATATACAATGTACGTATTCAGTATAAAAGTACCATTCTGAAAACAACAAAGCAGAATTAAATTTTACCAAATAATAAGTATAGTACTAATGCATGTTAAATAATTAATATACTTAGTTTGAATAACATCCGTCACCCGAATGGAATAAAGGAGCCTCGTTTAATATCGAAACTATTATCACAATTCCTTTGCTCAAATATATTACATTAAGTTATACATTAGCAACACTTTCTATGAAATTAAAAATGTGGTTGCCACTTCGAATACTTCGATATTTTCAGTGAGAGAGATGTCTCTCCACGACAGTCAAAGAGTCAATGAAGTCGCGCATGGAGTTATGCACTCGAACCCATGATTCTGTGCAGCCCGCTTGTCCAACCTCCTTTGTTCATCCAGTACATATCATAGCCTTTGGGTAAAAAAACACATATATGGTCACACTGAGTCTTCTCCATTGACATGAATCCCAAAAGAAGCACTTGGTTTGTCACTAGCTATTTGTGAATATCTACTCCATGAAAACCAGGGAATTTGTGTTAAGGTGCAACAAGTATGAATCGCACTTGATGAGCATGCCATAGAAAATTTCCAGTGGCAGAGACCAATGAAATTAAGCCAAACATTAAGGGCAGGTCTTTGATTTCTTTCTTCTAATTTATTAGGGAAGTCCATTATAAATTTCATTTGTTGAAAAGCTGCTCAAATCTAGTTAAACATCCCCTCCTGGACTAAATGTGGTTGGATTAAAATCAGATGGGGCTGTCGATCTATGTGCATCCGACTGGCTGTGGTGGAAAAAATATATCAATTAAATCTGATTATACACTAGTAGCACCCTACTCTCAATTATGGTAATATTAGGTTTGATAAAACTTACTTTTTAACAACTTTAATTACAGAAGATGTGATGCACCTGACTACACAAAAGAGCACAAAAGATAGCTAGTTCACTTTGTAACGTTTTTCACGGATGTGGATATCACATTCCTTTCATTTTGATTATTGAATGTGGATATCACATTCCTTTCATATTGATTATTGAGTGAATTTTGCCACTTGTCCTGTATTCCTATGTCCATGTCCTTGGTTAGACAACCAGGACAAGGACGACGACGAGGCTAAGAAAAAGGCCTTTGTTAGAGGAAGTATGGCTTCGGTCATGGTCCAATATTTCGCCTGGTAAGCAGCATTCCGATAACGACTTGAAATTGATAACAAATTGCGTGCGTAATGCTAATACCATGGCTATTCAAATATAACTCTTTCACGTTTTAGGCTAGACTTGCTACAAGTCGACTCTTTAAACCCACACGCGAGCTTGAGCGACCGAGTGTAGTGACGTCGCGAAAGCGAGGGAAGGGAACACGTGGAAGTTCACAGTTGGCGGACGAAGTTCAAAGAGTTCAAAGGATAAGAGCGGAAGAGTTCCCAGTGGTTGTCCATCTATTGGATCATGTAGTTGAGATATGCATGATTTGTAAACACCGACAGTTCGGTATGACAGCTTTCGAGAATGAAACTGTTCTGTCAAAAACTGTAAAACCTCTGCTACAGTGGCTGAAAATGGACATTGATTCCGTGAGACACACCAGCTAGTCCAAAGTCTCCAAGGCCCTTCATACCTCTTTTTCGATTCTTCCGCGCGTTCCCTTCCCTCGCTTTCGCGACCTCGCTACGCTCGGTCGCTCAAGCTCGCGTGTGGGTTTAAAGAGTCCACTAGCAAGTCTAGTTTTAGGCCTAATCTGCAAAATTCCAACCGTAGAATTCAAGAGAAAGGCTCACTTTATCATAAATTGACAGTTTTTATGGAAAAAAGTTGATATCGCATGACACGTACAACTTGCTTAGAACGGGATTTTATTTTATTACTCCCCCTGTTTACATGTTTTACATTCCGGGTTTTAAAGATTCCGGAGATTCTCATTCCGGCTTTTAAAGATTCCGTAGATTCTTATTCCGGCTTTTAAAGATCCCGGAGATCCTCGTTCCGGGTTTTAAAAATTCCGGAGATTCTCATTCCCGGTTCCCCATTTCTGGTTCCCCGTTCCTTGATTCCCCGTTCTTGGTTTTAAATAATAGCCCTTGGATTTAATGTTATAATTTCACTAATATAAGAGTATCTTACAAATGATTTGATTGGTCTTTTGTTATACTTAAGTCCTATAGGCTAGCCAGAACATTTTATAAACATTTAAAAAATTCCTATGTAAAGCAACAGAATGGACCTTTTCAGTAATTACGTCACCACATTATCGCTTTAAATTTAGAACCATCTGAAATGAGATGAATTTCAAGTTTTACTCTGCAAAGATGCAAAACGTCCTTCTTCGACACATGCATCAAAAAGAATTTTTCATTTTGAAAAATAAGTATGGAAATACGACATAACGCGAGAACGAGGCTCGCGGTCGTGACCCCTGAGCCTCGTTCTCGTGTTATGGCTTATTTCCACATTTATTGGTAAAATAAAAAGATCTTTTTGATGCATGTGTTGAAGAAGGAAGTTTTGCATCTTTGCACGTGGCTCGTGAAAGTAAAACTTGAAATCCATGTCAGTTAAGGTGGTTCTAAATTTAAAACGTTGTGACGTTAAAATCTTGTGACATAATTACCGAAAAGGTTTATATTCTCAAAATACTGAAAAATGCTACAGCAATGACTGCTCCTAAATTAGTTGTTACTATAAACTAGGCTATCAAATAATATATCTGGTAATCCTGAGTTGATGAGAGATATCTTTTTGCTTTGGAGGTTGGTTTTTCACACCTTCAATCAACTGATGGCCTTTTAATATAATGACACCATTGACACTGCTGATTGAACGTTTTAAACTTTGAATGTATGAGACTTGATTGATTATTAGATTTAGGTTTGCTACAAATTCTCATCTTGAATTGAGAGTAGGGACATCAGAGTTCAGGCAATCAGACCTTCCTAATAGGATAGCGATTTAATGTAGTATATGAATAGTTTTTCAGGGCACGATGCTGATTCCTCTCTGTACCCTGTGATCAATAATCAGGAATGCTACTAGAAATGCATTCAGTCCTCCTCGCCATTTTCAAGTTTAACCAAGAAAATAATCTCCTCAGGCCTAGATTTGCTATAACTTATGGAATGACTCAATGGCAAAGCGTTCATAGCCAGTATTTTTATCATTTGTTACAAAAATATAGTCATAACATTTAAGGTGATGTCACCAGTTTTCTACAGGCGTTTATATACCCTACCAACTTAGATAACTGTTAAATTTCAATATTTGAACTTTAGAAAAACATCAAATATTCTTCCTGAAATATTCTTCCACAAATTCTGCCGGAATGAGACTAATGATCCTGAATGACACATCTAATTTGCATAACAAAAATGACCGGATTAAGACCAGGCAGCTAGATCTGTTTCTACAAAATCATAAGAATTTTTTTATTTCATTTATTTGTTCTTTCTAATAATGTAAAATTGAAAAAATTCATATTTAACTACAGCTTGCACATTCAGACAGCTATAAACAAGGTACGGCTGAATTAAATGTATACAATGTACGTATTCAGTATGAAAATACCATTCTGAAATCAACAAAGCAGAAATTTTACCAAATAATAAGTATAGTACTAATGCATGTTAAATAATATGCCATCCTTAAATATATAATATCCGTATGTTGTGCGTTCTTGTACAAAAGCAAAGCCAGAACTCTTCAAGTAAAGACAACCTTTAATCTATATGTGACACTAAACTTTATACAGAAGCTGCCATATTTATACCCTCGACTTGATGTTAATTACCATACTAAAATATGCAGTACTTCCACTACATCCTCCTTTCTATACATTTTTTTAAATATTTACAAGACAGGCAGCAATTATTAAATTCGTATATTTTTGTGGTTTGTTTTTCATAAAAGTTTTTTTTAAAAAAACTCTAACTGTCCAAATTAACCAACAACGTTAGTGTCTATTAGTCCAAGACAAAATCTTTATACTTAGGGTTAGGTTTTCGTACGCGTCCGGATCTTCTTAAGGTTGTGGAAGAGGTCTGTGGGTCTGGAACGTTTAACGGTTCATGGGTACTATTGAGCGGCTTCGTTGGTGACTTGGATTGTTTGTCACATGACGTTGAAATCTCGATATCTTCTGGCTCAACACGCTGAGGCGAGGTTAGGACCTTTCTTGATGGTATAACCTGACGAGGAAGGATATCATAACCTGCAGAATGGGTAGGGCTGTTTGACCTCGGAATCACAAGCTCACAACCTTTCCGAATGTGGAGCCGATCTCTTCTATACTGTTTTCCGTTAGCTTCAACTATATAAGATCTGTCATTGTGTTTACCCACGACAGTTCCGCTAGACCAAGGATGAGAACTAGGCTTAATTTTAGTTCTAATGTTCTCTCCTACAACCAAGGGAGGTAAGGGTTTGGAAACTTTGTCATAGTATCGTTTGTTTTGCTGTTTCTTCTTCACTGTCGCTTTAACAATGGTTTTAGTGGATATTATGACAGGTTCCAATAACTCAGGCTTAATAGGAAGAGTAGTTCTGGTTCTTCTAGACATTAGTTTCTCATTTGGCGACGCCAGTTCATCAGGGGTGTTTCGCATCTCCAAGACCGCTAACCAAGGATCGCTACTCATCTTTAGTATCCTCTTCGCTTGTTTCACTGCTGCCTCAGCAACCCCATTCCCTTTTGGATAATTAGCGAGGAGGTATGATGCTGGAAATTCCACTCTTCGGAGAACTTCTTATATTCACTACTTGTATACTGGGGTCCATTGTCTGATATAACAAACTCTGGCACTCCATGTCTCGAGAAAATCTTCTTAGTTTGCAGAACCGTGTTTTGGGCACTTGTTTCCTCCAGTTCTTCGATGTCCCAGTACTTCGTTAAATTATCAACGACGACAACATATGTGTCGTTCTTGACCGAAAACAAATCTGTACTAACATACTGCCATCGACGCTTTGGAATGGGTTGGCTCTGCATCGGTTGTTTGGTTTGATCTGGTTTATGCTCTTGACAGACTTCACAATTATCGCACAGATACTTGATATCGTTGTTAAACGTTGGCCAATACAGCGAATCGCGAGCTGCTCTTATACATCTCTCTGCTCCCAAATGAGCGCTGTGTATCTGCTCAAGCATACGTGGTCTCAACGCTGTAGGTATCAAGACTCTGGTGCCTCTATAAATTATACCATCTTGCACAGAGAGTTCATCACGATAAGGCCAATACTCCCTGACGTTGAAAGGAACTTGTGTTTTATCACTGGCCAACCATGCATAATCAAGGTTGCTAAAATCAACAAGTTCTCATCTTCAGCTGTTGCCTTAGCTACTTTCTTCAACGACTTATCTGTAACGTTATGGTAGACGTTCGGATCAATATCTTCAATGTCTTTCATCAACTCGTTTTCTTCGTTGACCGTAAAAATATCATAATCATCTACTTTACTGCTATCTTTCTGACTTGCGTGAAACGGAGACCTCGAGAGATGATCACTGATGTACATACGACTGCCTTTCTGGTACGTCACTTTTAAACGATACTTTTGGAGTCGCAACATCATACGCTGTAATCTCTTTGGTGCGGAGTTAATACTTTTAGCTAATATTGTCTCTAACGGTTTATGATCAGTCAACGCATTTATTTTTGTTCTTCCATGCAAAAAATGATCAAACCTTGTGCAACCAAACACAAGGCTTAGGCATTCTTTTTCAATTTGCGAGTATCTTCTTTCAGATTGTGTTAGGGTACGACTGGCATACGCCACAGGTTTTCCATTTTGTAATAATACAGCTCCCAGTCCGTAATCACTGGCATCAGTCTCTAACGTGACTTCTTCACCCAGATCGTAGTACTGTAAAACTGGTGGTTGCGATAACATCTCTTTGAGCTTATTGAATACTTCTTCATGAATATTTGACCAGATGAATTTCACACCTTCTTTGGTAAGATTTCGCAGTGGCTCGGAGATATCAGAAAGCTGTGGCAAGAACTTTCCCAGATAGTTCACCATTCCAAGCAGACGTTTAACTTCTGCCTTATGACGAGGACGGGGCATCTCCGTAATTGCTTCCACTTTGACAGGATCTGGTAGCATTCCTTCAGCCGTCAAAATGTGTCCGTTGTACTTTACACTTTGTTGTTTGAACCTCAACTTTGATTTGTTCAACTTCAAATTGCGTTCTCTGCATCTTTCCAGTAAGCTAAGGAGGTGTGATCATGATTCTTCACAGCTTCTTCATACGAACCACCACTTCCATACACAAGCAAATCATCTGCGATGGTTTCAACCCCATCTAAATCTCCAATGACATCATGAACGTGCCTCTGGAACTCCTCTGGTGCACTGGATATACCAAAAGGCATTCGGAGCCATTTATAACGGCCCAAAGGGTGTATGGAAAGTCGTCAGCTTTGTTGACTCTTCATCAAGCTTGACTTGTAAGAAACCATCTTTAGCATCTAATACTGTGAACACCTTGACCTTTCCAAGCTTAGATGTCACATCTTCCATAGTAGGCATACGAAACCGCGGAATTTATATGTTTATTTAGTTCTTTAGGATCTAGACATACCCGAAGTTTCCCTGGCATCTTCACGTACACTGCACTGTTGACCCAGTCCGTTGGCTCTTCAACTTTGGTTAAGATTTCTTGTTTAACCAGCTCATCGAGTTTCGTCTTTAACTCGTCGCGAAGAGCTACTGGCACACTTCTCGGTGGATCTTGTTTTGGAATCGCTCCTTCATTCAACTCGATCCTGTACTTCCTATGTAACCAAGACCAGTGAACACATCTTTGTAATTGGTGAGAACATCTTCTTCAGTCAACTCTTCGTTGTATGTCACAGCGTTAACAAGTAACTCGTTTTTTACTGTAATGAGACCAAGTGCTTCTGATGTAGGTCCAGATAATAACGAACATGGTGCGTTTTTAATCACCTGAAAGACCACTTTTTCCAGGATTTGTCCTCCCAGACGAATATCCACGAATACCTGTCCTTCAGGAATTATTCTGCTCCCATTATATGTTGTCAGCTTCACATTGCTTTTGACTAGCTCTGGTGGATCTGTCATTTTGTTGTAGTTCTCCATCTTTAGACAGTTTGCAGCTGCACCATTGTCAATTTGCATCTTTACTTCATTCCACTCAGAACCTGCAGTAGCTTTAATTTTGGGCTGTACCATATACTGCTTCACACCTTTGAATGCATAGGTAGGACAGAAAAGTTCGTCACTTCCAAAACTTGAATCTGACTCTCCCTCATCCAACTGGTGTATATTGTTTTGTTGTTTGCTTTGTTGCGTTTTTTTGCTGCTTGCCTTTTAATTCTTTCTTGTCATCTCTCTTTGGTATGGACGACTTACACATTCTTGCAAAATGATTTTTCTTGTGACACTTCTTACACACCTGACCAAAGGCTGGACATTCTCTCGGTCTATGGCTTCTACCACAATATTTGCATAACACCGGTATCTTTGGTTGTTCAAACTTCTTATGTTTGAGATTTCCTTTATTTCCAACTGTGTGAATTGGACTTTCACCAAGTTTCTCTATTTGCCTCAGTTGACTTTTGGATCTTTCAGCAGCTCTGACCAAATCTACGGCGCTATCTAGTGTCAAGGTCTTCTCACGGAGTAGTCTACTTCTTACACTTTGATCAAGGATTCCTATCACCAATCGGTCCCGAATTAGCTGACTGGTAAGAGCCCCATAATCACATGTCGCTGCCAATTTTCTAAGTCTATTCAGGTACTGATCTATACTCTCATTATCCTCTTGTATTGCAGTATTAAACACATAACGTTCGAAAATCGTGTTCTTTTGCGGCTCAAAATAATTTGTTAATGCTTCTAATAAACTGTCTGGATCAGTAGGATCTCCAACTTCTAAGTTTTCAGCTATTTGATTTGTTTCTCGACCCAGCACGGTGTATAATGTTGCCAACACTACACTTTTATCTCTTTTATCTAGTCCCGTAGCTAGTTTATAATTATTCCAACTTTTCTTAAAGTATTTCCAATTATCTGCTAAATTTCCTTTTGTATTCATAGACACAGGCGGCGGTATTTGACTGTAAACAGTTACTGAAGACATTAACGGTGCTTGTAAAGTTCCCTCTTCAACTGACATATTTGTATTTCAACATGAACTATACATAAATGTCTACTTATCTCTTTTCATCAGTCAATACGGTACAATCTTGTTTCGTGGGCAACTATCCCAAACGGCAACGTCTTGCACTCTTGCACTGTCGGCTTGATTTCTTTATCAATTCCTCGGCCAACTTGGCGTATATACTGATATACTGTGTTCAACGTGATTCAGTTTACACCTGACACCATGTTGTGCGTTCTTGTACAAAAGCAAAGCCAGAACTCTTCAAGTAAAGACAACCTTTAATCTATATGTGACACTAAACTTTATACAGAAGCTGCCATATTTATACCCTCGACTTGATGTTAATTACCATACTAAAATATGCAGTACTTCCACTACACCGTATATAGAATAACATCCGTCACCCAAATGGAATAAAGGAGCCTCGTTTAATATTGAAACTATTATCACAATTCTTTTGCTCAAATAGATTATATTATTATAAATTAAAAAGATGGTTGCCACTTCGAATACTTATATTTCGATATTTTCAGTGAGAGAGATGTTCTCTCCACGACAGTCAAAGAGTCAATGAGGTCGCGCATGGAATTATGCACTCGAACCCATGATGCTTTGCAGCCCGCTTGTCCAACCTTTTCTTGGTATCAATCAGAACAATGGATTTTGATTAAGTTGCTCGTCGTAATGCTCAATATGCAACGGGTCGATATGCTAGATTGTTTTGTTACAGCGAGAGTTGAGAGTTTATTGCTTTGTTGACGTGTGAACGTGGTGGATATAGGCATGTTGGTCGTATGATGTTTACGGTAATATTTCTTCCAGAATCTACGATTGGTGATTAAAAAGGAATTTTATTCGTTTGGCAGGCTTGGTTATCATTCAGCCGATGCTTGTAAATTTGACTTAGTGGTAGGAAAAGCAACACCTCCGAACTTAGCGCAGTATTTGAAATGTGTATGTGATAGGATTTATCTACGAGGGAGTTTTGTGTGATTGGATTTATCTACGACCCAGTTTTGTCTGTAGCCCTGGGAGCCAGTAGAATAATAAGTTATTGTACATATAGAATATGTAATCAAGCTACAAGATTATACGTATAGAATTTATAATCAAGCTACGAGGGAATAAAAGGCGATCATTAGTGAACTGTGTACACTGAGGCGGAAGTATGTTGAAGTAGAATCGATTAAGGAGTGGTCTACAAACTGAAATAATATTATTCTGATTATACTCGATAAATTAAAGCGTAAGAATTACGTAAAGCGTCGCACTTTACATTATATGGATCTTCAATTAATGATCAAATAGTTGATCTTCAATGATCAAATGCTCTGTTATAGTCTTCAGTGACTTGAGCAAGACACTACGTTGTAAACGTGTTAGCAAAGTTATTAGGGAGAGCTCTGACATCGAGATTATCGCAGCTAGTTGCAGAAACCACAGGAAAGGAACAACTCGCCGAAGGAAACAAGTATATCGTAGCCTGAGAGACAGTTTCATAATACTAGAATAGGAATTATACTTTAATAGTTTTAGTCTTAGTTCTTTGTAAGAAAATACAAAAATATATATACTGAAATTCTGTATATGAAGTTATATTTGCCGACACCCACACAGACGGACTAAAATTCGTCACATTGTCTCCCAAGAGTGTGGTGCACAGCTTTGGCCAATTTTCCGATGCGCGATTCGATTTTGATCGCATGATACGGCAATTCCTCCGAAAGGAACAAATAAACCGTTCCTTTGATGCTGTTCGATTAAGTTTAGATTGAATTGGGGTAAGAATATATTTAATACATGTAGATTCTGGTCCTATTTTAATCATATCGCTGCTATTTCGCCGTTTAACAAGATGTGGCCGTGTATGGTCGCGTTGACACGTCGCAGTTTGCACATGCAGGATTGAAAATTTAATATAACTATATAAGCACGAATTCCAAAGGCAAAGTGTAAGACAAAGTGAATGTATCATGCGGTTTATTTACATTTTTGAACAATTAAACTTCTATACTTTTTAAAGTAGGATGTGCTTCTGAATTTCGCGATCGAACAACATTTTGGTTCGCAAGGCATCTAAATGCGAATATGAACTGTTTTGTTTATGTTCAGAAGCTTTATATTAAAGACTGGCACGTGCGCGGCACGCCGGAACCATTTTCAGTGGTTTACCTTATATCTTTCCATGTATTGAAAGAAAACTTTCTCATTGACCAGCATTAACAAAACTTATATGCCACACTCAATTAGTGTAAGTGTGGCTGAGCTTTTTGAATACAGGCGTATGACTTGATTTCCAGCATTTGGGGGACAACTGCTTATGAGTCCACCACGGTGGAGTGAGGTCTTTTGAGAAAATACCATATATGGCTGCACATTTCTCATTTTATCACTGCACATTCTACATTTCTCATTTTATCACTCCACAAAATTAGTTATCACTGCACACTAAAATTAGGTGTATGTATAGTCCGTTTTTATCTGCTTACAACCGCCGCAAGAGACGGACCATTTTCCTTTTACATGTAATACATCTTCGACAAGCTCCTGAAATAAAACAGGATCTCCTTGCCTCTTGAACTTACCACTATTTGCAGCGACTACAGATTTACTATCTTGGTAGTTTTCTCAATATTGCATGCCATAATTTGCTGGAATATGATTCTAAATTAATTTGATTTGATAAAAAACTAATTGACCATATTATATTGGCCAATTGTAACATTCTCAATTCCATAACACCTTCAAAAAGTCCATTCTTATATTCTAGGTTCAAGATTACTGAACTGTTCAGGCGAAGAATATTGTTTTGGTATGTCGATTCTTTTGGAAATTTTTTCCTAGCATTGAAATATTTGCTTTTTATTTTGCTTTTTATTTTTTCCCTTTTTTGCTTTTTTTTTAAAGTTTTTAGAGCAAGTAGAGGAATCTCCATTTAGCTTTAAAAAAAAGTAAATCCAATCATAGTGATTCCAGCTTATTTCTTTTCAAGAAAATCGACCGCCGTATTTCAGCATGCCTGACCGATTGTACGCTTTTGAAAACAGCAAATTTGTAGTGCCTGTTACTGTAATTGATCCAGAGGGCTATCCATTGACATACGACGAACCTACGACCATGATCAACGGTAATGTATCGTATGACAAAATGCGGAGGCTCCTTCACTTGTCTGTAATGAAATCTGGAAGTGTCTTGTTGAACGTGGTTGACAAAGAGAGGCTTAAAGCAAACCATACTATAAATATCGTCACAAAGTCTTGTCCTTGCCAAAAACGAGGTATGTTATATGAAATATTAATCTATCAGTAGGGCCGAAACTAGTGCGATAATTGGGGTGGGGTGCATACTCAGATTCTGTTCTGCCTGCCCGCCGGATTTCTTTTTTAAAACGCATATACGTACAAATATATATATTTATATTGCAACCGCTTCCCCAATTATTGCATCTAGTTTCCCTGCTTATCAGTAACAGAAGTCATTGTTGGCATCATTTCCAAAACTCTATACATAATGGTCGGTGAAACACTCATTAAGCTAATCGATGTGTGATGTTAAAAAATACTAGCATGCACGAGCGTGGTCATCGGCAAAAGTTCACAAGGAGTGCATTTTTTTGTAGCTATAAAAGCTGTTTTTATTGATAATCGATTTTCATGAATTGGCTTTCTGATTGTTATATTGTCTTTGTCCAGCATCAGCTAGCAAAGAAAACCTTTTCCTGTATTCCCCTAATGGAATACGTTATTCTGTTATCATGCAGGCCAGGAGATTTAGCATCGTCAAAGACGACGTGAAAATAGCGAAACTAATATATAGGCGCATCACACCAGTTATTTGCCATTTTCACGTCCTCTTTTACGTCTACGTCCTCGTGCTAAATGTCCCTTTTGCATTACGTTCATCTCCAATTGCATTTCTAAATTTTACGCTTTTTTAAAAAGCTTTACCGTTTTACTCTAAAATAAGGTAAGCTATATTTTTCAGGGTCAATTTTTTAGGAAATGTTGCCTGGGTGCGGTTGTGCTAAATTTTCGGAGGGAGGGGGCATTTTTCCCTGGTTAACGGACCGAAAGCTCTGCATATAATAAATATACCGCACAAAATGGCCAGAAAGTGTGTTGGGTATATCATCCCGCATTTAGGTTAACACATATAAATTATCTAAAACGAAAACTGCAATGTATAACTCAATATAACACCGCTTATATATAAATCTCGGTTAATTTTGACACAATACATAGTTACTAAAATTCGAAAAGAACGTTCGCGAATATTTTACAAATCTAATATGTGTTATTTAATTTTTTATAAGGTGAATGCTTTGGCAAGAAGAGAGTATATCTACAGACCTCGAAGACCTCTCAAACTTCATATGTTACTGTGTCAAACCTTACACAGGAAACTTGTGTGAAAGTAGTCCGTGTGATAACCTACCTTGTTTCCCTCGTGTGAACTGTTCTGTAACAAATCTTGGTTACACTTGTGGCAATTGTCCACCGGGTATGAAAGGTGATGGAGAAAATTGTCAATATATTTTTTCTCATGGTAGGTAATAGCTATCATATACCCTCCAAACCCCCCAACCCATATAAATTTTCTAACTGTCATGTTACTATCCCTATGCTTAACTAATTTTGTTTATCCCAGGCGAGGGGTTGCTGCATGCATGTATTTCTAGTATTTTTACTTAAGAAGACAAAAATCCTAACTCCTTGCCTATTAGTATATTGTTTACGAACAACCGGGTTGTAACAGTTCATATGTGCATATATGCAAAACAGAAAGAAATTTGGTTACTCGCACTCGTTTATCGAAACATTCAGATCCACTTTAAGTTCCATTTCCCGACATTTATCGTAATGTGAACGAGCCCCTATAGCCTATAGGTACAATTATGTGCCATGTAAATATATAATTCCATGTTTGGTGACTGGTTGGAAAATATTGGGGTAAAAACTCTAATATGCGACGGTTTGGATTTCTTGTTAGAAATGATGCAGGTAAATTTTCTAAACCATGTGTTCACTTTTTTAACTCCACAGATAAGGTGGTGGTTAAAGGAGAGATGACTTTCGTTTTTGGAATAAAATGGAATATCGATCTTTTGGACGGGGCTTCTTTTTTCTATAAGCAGAAAACAGCTGAAATTGAAACCCAAGTATTTGATTCTTACGACGAATACTATATGGGAATAATTGCAGTTGATATCTTCGCTATCTGTGCAGTTTCGATTCGGTTTGTTCTTGTTTTCTAGATTGCGCTGGTTTATGGCGATGTTGGAGACTTTCTGAACGTGTTTGTCACCCGTTATCGGTACGTTTTTTTTTGCTGTTTAAGCTTCGTGTTATTACAGCCCATACCGAGCAGTATTAACACGAAGTTCTAATATACATTTAATACACAAATTTAATATACATGGCTTTGAAGTGAAAACTTTGTTCGTTTTACAATACTGTATTGCGTCAAAATCGGTATGGAAAGTAAGTAAGGAAATTTGTGGTGAAGAAGTTCAAAAGTTCTGAAGTTGTAAACTTTGCAGGACAATATTTAGATTCATTTGGTTTTGTTAGCGTAAAATTTAATATAAATGTTTTAGGCACCAGAAATAATGCAGCAACTCTGGCGAATTGATACCTGGCCAAATAATTTCCTAAGCTAGCCAGACCTAAGGTTAAGCTTATGTAACAAAACGACTCAAACATAGAGTAGCCAAACCGTACGTGACTCAAAGAGTCGCGATCGATAGCTGCACACATCGTTTTCCCAGTGTATTTAGCAGGCAGGTTATGGACTTTCATTGCTGTACAGTTAAACTTAACTGAAACTTCAAACATCAAAACAGTACAAATTCCTAAAGGGCTAAACGTCGATGCAATGTTGTTTTTCAAATATTTATGCAGTTATTTCAGTCGACTTCACAACCTTTGAAGTGACGACATACCAAGCTTATGATTTTGCAAATGCAAAATTAACAAAATGGACAGCTTCCTCCTGTTTGAACTTTGCACTTTAAGGCTTATGTCGCTCTTCTTTCAGCCACTAGCCTTGAACTGTATCTGGGCCCTCCTGATAATCTTTTTCACATGCAGTGTTTATATAATTTTATTTTGATGCCATATTTTATTTTGATTTAACGTTTACCAGTCTTTACTCGTCCTAATTATGTGACCATTTAACGTCAACCGTCCCTAATCCATGATGTAAAATTTGGAAACTTTATATTCCGCTATGTTCTGTCACATACACAGGTGTAATTCCTAATTTCCGGGCAAAATTAGTTTCCTCGCACGGCGCTCCGCTCACTTTTTTGAATTTGCCTTGTAACTAGGTCTGATTTAAGATAGCAGTCACCAGTTGCCTTGCAACATACCATCCATTGCAGTAGCTAGGAAATGTTAAATGAGAGCATTGAGATGGTTTATGCAGTAACCTGCAACAATTTCAAACAAGACAGTGTGCTGGGGAACACGGGTGACGAAGCGTTAAGCCTTCTATATAAAATTATAACAGGTCGAAGTCACCAGTTGGTCAGTTGGTATAATTAGGTGAATACCTCCGTGTGCCTGCTATAACTCGATCATGTAAGTTGAGATTGGTTGATGTTAGTTCTCTCCTGTGTTCGAGGGTTTTCGTCGGGTACTCCAGTTTTCTCTCTCTATTATAGTTGGGAACAATATACACCCGATATTGAGATTTTGAAGTGACGCTTTCAGCGCAAAATTTGAATTTTTTTGAACTTTCGCGCATTAAACTTGACTTATCTTTTTTTTTGAAAATGGAAAGGTTTTTAGAAACACCAAATTGCATCTTTTTTATCCTCGTGTGTACGAAATTGCGCGTTTTGCAATAATTGATCATCTTATGTTGGAATCTTCATTTACGTATTTGAGAATACAGTTTCGTTTGTGTACTTTTTGTTGTTGAACAACTTTTTACGATTCCTCCGTATGCTCCTTAATTTAAATGTACTTACGGTCATGCAAATGAAGTGTCATTTTTGTGTTTTCTGGGCTGCTTGCTTTGACAGTTGCCTTGTATACAAGAACGGTGCAAACGTTTCAAGTTACTCAATATCCTTGTTAGAATTCCGAGTTTGTTTCCGTCCTGAGGCCTTTTTTGGGAAAATTTTTAAGTGATGTCGCCATAATAAAGGTCTTATTAAAAATTTGGCATAAATTACTTTCTCTGCTTAGACCCTGTTTACATGTAGCGAGTTATAACGGCTAAGCGAGCTGGCGAGGTGAAAACTGCATAATATAATGAAAGACTAATCAGGTTAAGCCTTTGATGTGATGCGCTTTTTATCTCACCTAGCCGGGATAACTCGCTCCATGTTGACAGGCCCTTATATACGCAAAATACATTGGAAGCGTGCATGTACAGAGGCTTTGCACGGTTCACGTGACGTGAAAACGCCGCCATCTTGGTGGCCTTCGAAATTGAAAAATGGCGGCAAGTACGAGCACTATTAATTAGCGTGTACCAAGTTTACCTAATTATCGCGATTCTCTTAGCGCAGAACATGTAAAGATATACGATGAAAAGTGAAAATTTACTGCAGGTATTGATTCTTATGCAGTTTCTGTACGTTTGTACTCCACTGCCATGGAGAATTATCTTGAAATAGATTATCCGGATATCGTGAACTATTTCTTCTTTGCAAAAAGTAGGTTCACAAAAGGGCAGCTTAAAGCCAACAAAAAAGTCTGGAGGCTTATCATTATTTTGTAGCCGGTTGGGTACGGAGCATCCATGTTGGAAATGTGACATTTCTTAAAAGTGAGTTTGTCAAGTTTAAATTTTGTGTCATTACAAATAAAACATCCAACAATTTCACAGTATTAAAGATTTATTACAAATATCGTCTTCTTTATAATAATAGGTGAACAACTCAGCGCCTAAATGAAGCTCCATTGAGCCCCTGGGCTGCTGTCCAAAAGAATGGCACTGTTTTAACCGCGCATTGCAACTGTTTGGCTGGCCTTGTTGAAGTGTGCTCTCACGTTGGTGCTGCATGTTTTGTTTGCAGTAGAGGCTGAAGTAAGAGTGGTTAAATGTAAATCGTGTACTTCAAAACTTATGGCTTATTCCGGCTTCAGCAACAACTGTGCCTTGCGCTGAACTACAGAACATCGATTTTACTGCAGCAAACACTAAAAAATAGGTACGCAACGCGTACATGTGGGTAGCCTGTAAACATTATTAATGCGATAAAGCTGCTATAGTGGCGAGTAAATATCAACTGATGCAATAAAATATTATTTTCTAGTCTTATGTTCTAATGCCATAGACAACGGAATAAACGCCCTATAGTTAGCTGGTTGAATACAGTTATAACGAAGTCGATTTATAACGCAATCTATATATTATAATATTTTATTGTATTAAATACATTTTAGGACAGATTAAAACATATATAAAAGCATTTTTACAAGACATAGGAAATGAAATTTTTTAAGCAGAATAGGTGAATACAAGAAAAAGGAGAGTAAGGTTCCGGGATGGTGGCACATATCGTCTGATAACATAAAGCTTAGTTTAGAAGGAGAAAGATCTTAACAAAGATTTCATTGAGGATAAACTACTTGATTTGCCAGATCATTTTACAGTCACATAACAAAGAGTCCAAAATTGTTTCAAACATTTCGCATTAACATTTTTTAAGGACTTATCTATGTATCTGAACAATATTTTAAAAATTTTTGATCAGTTGAAATGCACGTTTGTTAACAGTTTTGTTTTTTGAACTCCAAAGCATTTAGTTTAATAGCCGCATGTCCACAAGCAAGAAATTGACAAGTGAAATATTGCATTATAATTTATAAAACAGGGCAACTTGTTACTACCATTTGCCAAATTATAATTTATAAAACAGGGCAACTTGTTACTACCATGTGCAATAAAGTAATGTATTTGGTTTGATAGCTGCATGTCCACTAGCAAGAAATTGACAGGTGAAATATTGCATTATAAGTTATAAAATTAGTGTAACTTTGTAGTAGTAGATTCAACGCTCACCGATCACCGCTTTTTCGTCTTTAAAGTACTCAACTTCGCTTTAAAATTTGACAAACGTATTAACGTAACTTCGGTTGCTTCGTCCTTCGAAAACAACGAAATTTTCCGGAAGTAGAACGTACCGTTCGTCATCTTTCGTATATCCGACGATTGCCGAAGATGTGGCACCCACAAACATACATCCGGACACATTTTCGACTACATAGTGGTTAGCCGCGCATGCACAGCTACCCACAAAAACTAAAACTAGATGACAAAATATCTGAATTAAGGTAGACACCATCAACAGCTACAAATTACATGTCACATGATGTTCCTTCCCAAGCAATGGTGGACTTGTTTTTCCAAAAACTGCACAATTCTGGAAAAAATCCTGCAATATTGTCTCTGGTGGTTCCATACAATGAGAATTATGTGCGAACTACTCCAACTTGCCCAAATCCTGAGTGAGGCCAAAATTATTAATGCATGGTCATTCTTTATATTATACATGCTGTTGGAATAAGAGAGCCACTGGACCCGGTTATAGTGGAAAAACTCTCAGAGCTAGCCCAAGAAGGTGTGAACTCAGTAAGTGAGGCAGGCAGGTACCTTGATTTGTTCGTGCAATGTCACCTCCTCAAGGGATGCACACCGGCAAGCAAAACAAGTAGGCGATATTATCCTACTAACAAGGACATTTATAATAATTTGTATAAAGGAAACCAAACCATTTCTCCACAATTGACCAAGAAAATTTGAAGAGACTGGTCGAAAAATGGACGAATGAGCACCCAAAAGACTCTACTCTATTGTCTTCCTCATTCTGCCAAACCAGTGCCGGTTTATTCTGTTCAGAATGATTATTGCGTCACCTCCGACGAGGACTCAACCCAAACATTACTGCCCTGTCATCAGACCAGCGATCAACGACACCTCCTCACAAAATATGGTAACCAAATGTGTCTGCTGGATGCAACCTACAGAACAACAAAATATGACCTTCCATTGTACTTCCTCTGTGTAAAAACGAGTGTTTGTTATCAGTTGGTCGGCTCATTTGTCATACAGTACGAGAACACACAATGTATAACGGAAGCATTAATGGTTTTCAAGGAGTGGAATATAAATAGATTGACCACTTCACGCTTTATGGTGGATTTTGCTGAGGAAGAAATTCAAGCCCTCGAAATAGTCTTTGAAGGTAAGGAAGTTACAAACAGAGGAAAATAGGTTGTTTGAATTGTACTGGCGCACCTCAATATGTTATTTACATTATTCAGATACAGAAGTACTTGATTTTCATCGAGAGAAGT